GAAGAAAAGTGTAAATTATGTCAGTATCTCAAGGTCAGTTTAAGGGAATTTATTCAAGTTTTCTACAAACACTTTGACTGAAAGATGAACTAATTACATTGTTGTGGTCAAAAGGTCAGGGCCATTGACCTTACGTTGTTTTGAACATAACCTATCAGAAATGTTCAAAGGGAATGTCATGTGGCACAATCAGTCACTTGGACTAAAGGATGACCTGATACATTTTTGGTGCCTTAAAGTCAAAGGTCAAGGTCATTGTGCCAGCTGTGATGAAATTCCCTATGGGCAGTGACATTCACAGGAACATGAGGTCACTGACCTCTGACCTCTCAAACACATGTTTAGCCTTGTGAATATAATTTAATCTCGAGGAAATTCTTTCAAATTTGACCCACATGTTCACTTGGACTCACTGATTAATTGATAGGATTTCAGTGGTCAAAGCACTTTGGGAATTTTACTTTAAACCGATAAATTAAAAGACCAATGCCTCTACACTTTCTCTTTGAAATTTCTAATAGGACCTCAGGTGGCCAGATTTCCAAACACACCTTGAATCTGCACTCTGACAAGCTTTGGATAATGGGACAAAGAAAGTGAAGCTAATTTAGCAAATTTTTAGCTCACAGTCTCAGTTCTTTCAATTATCCTTTTTAGGGAGGTCTGGCTCATTTCTCAAAAGTGGCACACATTTCAAGGATAGATGAACTATTGATATTGCTTCTCTTAGAGTTAATCCCCACACGTGGTCATCTCTACCCATTCCTCCAGTTGTGGGGATACTAAAAGGTACAGGAGACTATAAGTATTTGTCCCTGTAGTCCTGTCCTGATTTGAATTAATTCATCATCCTCTCCATTTTCTCCCATGGCCTCGTTGTCCCTCCTTAAAAGACAATTAAGGAAAGTGAAAGTGAAAGTTCTAAATGAATGCAAATGCTCTCATTAATTTATACCCAATGGACTTTTCCCTCTGTTTTACAGTATGGACTGCAAAGGATCTTGGGAGATGAGCGGAGCCTATTGCTGCTGGCTCGAGCAATTGACCCCAAACAGACCAACATGATGACAGAGATTGTCAAGATTCTCTCTGCCTTCTGTATTATTGGAGAGGAAAATATGTAAGTTGAATTTCACTTTGCAACACGTTTGTACAAATCTTGCTCTTGAACACACACAGGTCTTTTATATTATTAAAGAGAAACATGTACACTAGAAAGATAGTGTAGAGTTTTGCAGCTTTTAGATTCTCACATCCCCTAGAAT